TTTTTTTTTTTTGCTATCCCTTCCATTTCTAACTTGCTTTTAAAAGAAACAATTGCTACCCCGTGTGGACAGAGCTGAAAAATGTCACTCTTTTTAAAACACTGTTTACCTTTTATTTCAGGCTCTTCGCCAGATTTCCCAGAGAACCATAAGCACTGCTTCACGCAGGCAGTTTGCAAATAGAGTTTCTGAGCAGCAGAAGCTTTTTCAGGTACTGAGTGAGTTGAATAACGTTAGTAGATTAACAGGGTTTTAGTAGATCATAATGAGATGTTTTTCTAAAGAGCTGGTCTAACTCCTCATTACATCAGAAGAAAGCTCTCGAAATCAGTTGAATGATTAGAGTGTTCGCAATTTACAGTTGTTTTCTGCAGAGATTAGGAGTATTTGTACATATGAACTTGACTTGCTAATTCTTTAGGCTTTTTTTTTTTTTACCCTGTGAAATGACTTGTACTGAAGTTTATTGTAAGTATTAGGCACTGTACAAAGATAAAGTACTCCAGAATGGGTTGATATGGGGGAGTACGTCCAAAGAACAAATATAGAAAAACAGTGAGAGGACAGAAATACAGTGAAAAAGTAAGCCTGAAATCTTACAGCTCTTTTTATAGCTCATAGATGAGCCCCATAATTTTTAATGAGGATGTGGTATTATTGTATTTTTCMGTTATGAAAACCGTAAATGTCTTAAGTGATTGGATTAAYTCCTAGAAAATTATTGAATCTTTASAAGTAATATCTGAATTACTCTGTTCCTGATTGATAGAGACACCGAGTGAACTAGTGAAAGCAGAGAACACTCGAGCATAATCCCAGCTGTGAGCCACAACCCGGAGCTGTAGCTTCATASTGAGGATAAAGAGGGCTTCAGCAAAGTGAAAGGGACCAAGTATATTAGAAGCCCCACTTAAACAGTTTTTTTATCTTATCACTTTCCTTTCCCCTGAAAGAGAAAGCCAGTCTTGCTGAGACACTAAGAAGCACGGTGTTCATTGTGAGCCCAGGGGAAGCAGGATGTTGGTGATGGGAGGGGTCAGAGGTTCTGTTTCTGCTGGCAGAGATCTCTAGGCATAGCTCTTCCTCCTTTCATTYCTTTCTTGAGGAACAGCAACTTAAGGTGGACTGGGTTGCAGGTCACCAGCACTGGAGGCTGGCTTGAAGTCCCGAGCAGCATGATCTTGCTGACAGGGGTAAAGATCATGTTGATCTGGTGCTTAGGTGTTTTACTTGGGGTGGAGCAAAACAATTTCCTGGTAAAACGCCACCAAGTGACAGTTCAGACTCCTCCCCCTGTTGCTCCCTATAGCAGGGATTGTGCTGGAGATGGATGGAAAGTTTCTAGGAATGGGGAACACATCCTGTTGCACTCGAGGGGTCTGGCAACTGGTGTCAGAAGTGTTTAGGCATCTGTCAGTCACTGCTTTAGATATGAATTGTGCATGTGATTTATTGTACTCCCCTAGTGAGTCATCACCTGATACCAGAGTGAAAGCTTTGAAGACAAAGTGGGATCTAAATAAGGTTCAGTGTCTTTTGGGAGTTGGAAAGATAATGTAGGGTAGTAATTCTTCCTCTGAGTAATTGTTGTTATGTAAACACAATATTGCAGGAACTGTATATAAATAGTTTATTTTTGTCACTTGTTTCCATTAGGAGGATAATGGCGTCCCA